AAACATATTATTTGCCTTCTGTGCTTTGTATATGCAGAAGGAGTTTGATGCCTCATGACTTTACATATGTATTAAACCCACTAACATGTCTGAATTGGGGCATTGTACTTAGGATGAGGAGTACAGCAGCTTCCAGGAACTCCTGTAAGTTCTCCAAGGTCAACAGGCATTTGGGTAACTTACAGGCTATTTGAGTACATGCCTTCAAATGAAGAAATGGATTTCCATCTTCTAGTTAGAGGCAACTGTGCTAAAGGCTTAAGATGGCAGTCTCCCGTCATGACTTGAAAATGGCTTTAAATAATTTTTACTTAATGCTGTGAGACAGTAACTTGGCTTTTTGGAGAAGTGAGACAAGAAGAGTATCTTCTTTGTCTACCATAATGTTTTTATTTTTTTCATTGTGTGAATGATGTTTTGTGTAATACACACCTTAGAAAAATATTGGCTCAAAATTCTGGTAAGTCATCAATCCCAAAAGGCTATATTTTGCTACTCTTAGTCATATTCCTATCAGTTCTTTTGTAAAATTTAAGTGACTCCAGTATTTAATAATTTTTAATTTGGGTTCTTAAATTAAACAACTGCAAGAATTTGCTTGTAAGTAAAGTTGATTTCCTTTCTCCAAGGAATGCTTCCAAGCACTACAGCTGATGCCACTTTTTCACTGTTTATTGTTTCCCTTTTACTCTTGTATTATTGTATCCCCACAGTATTACAGCAGGGTAGTGATACAGTTCTCAGATTTGTCCTTTTGCCTGTAAAGACATTTTTAAAACGTGACGAGTTTCCTTTTTTTGCATTCACCACCATTTAGAAATTAACTTCTCTCATTTTGTTTCTCTCCTTTAGGCAGTTTCTGATCCATTTTGTCATTGCGTACAATCTGTCTGTTTAGAATGCCTTTCCGTTTTTTTTCATCTGGTGTTATATGAATGTAACTGTGTAACTGACAAGTGTTATGTAAATATACACATACCTATCTATATAAGTATCTGTCATTTTTATGTTTTTAAAGTGGGGCATTGATTCTATTACATTCACATACAACATGCTAGAAATACATTACATAATTCCAGGTGAAAATAATGTCAGATTTTTTTACATGAAGTGGAGACATAGTAAAAGTATATGAGAGTTCTATATTTGGAGAACCTTGCAGGACACTGATGAAGGACTTGCATTATATTTTAACTTGGAATAATTACAAAAAGTTTGAAAACTATGAATAGGCATAACATATGTGACCTTGACTGAAGTTTGTCCTTCTCTGTGAAGTGCAGGACTCAAATCTAGAGGAAGGTTTGATCATTCTCTGATTAAATTAATGCATGGTTGTTACAGCCAGATTATCTGAAATCAGCCCAGAGTGTGCATACTTATCCTTTGAATGGTGCTGTTCAGCTGTCCTTCCCCTTCTCCCTTCATTTATGTTCCTCAATTTCTGGAGTGGAAATGTACATTGCTAAGCACACAGGCATGTACAAATGCCTCTGTATCTTCCAAATTAGAAGCAACCTTGCATTAAGTATATTGCATAATTTCAACTATATAAAATGTACATGGAATCCTGTACTAGTTTCTATGCTATTTTATTATGTCTGAACTTAATTGTTATTTGCAGCATGTGATTGACACCTCTTTGTGCTCTGCAGTGTTTGATATCCATCACAGTTTGAACTTAGGCAAATTTTGAAGTGTTTCATTGTTTTAAAATAGAAATGTTTTACTGGATCTGTGTCTTTGTGACTTCCGGTGTTTTCTGCCTTTCACGTTTTTACCTCCTAAATCTTATTATATGACAGCTTTAAAATATTAATTTTCTTAGAATAAATTGTCACAGCTGAGGTCACGGGAGGTTGATAAGAACCTTCTGTGTCCATAAGCATAACCCATTCCACTGAGATCTGCAGAGAAATTTCTCTCTATGTTGCATGTTAGGTTTTCTTCTGCTGACAGGTGACTGTTATCAAGTATGTAATCCATAATGACATCTCAATGTCTTAAAAAAATTTAGTCATAAAATAACATTATCTGCTATAAAAATGGCAAAATCAAATGTTAATGCCTGTGTTTAACTCAATGTTTTTCTGTTCTCACCTTTTAAATTGAATCAGTACTGAAGGTATAATTTTTCGTGAGTTGCTTTTCCGCATATAGAATTCTTTTTGAAATTTATGAAAAGTATACATAAAAATGGGAGCAGAAAATACCATTGCTTTTTTCAGCAGATTTTGAAACTTTGTATCACTTCCACTTTGACACATATCTTAGAACTAAAATATTTAAATCCATTGTAAATTTATTATTTTTTTTTTCTTTGCAAACCCACACAGCATTTGAGAGATCTAATATTATAATATTTTTTATTTCAGTCATGCTGGTTACTATTAATCTGTATTCTGAGTGCTCTAAATATCTAGATTTCTTCATGACTGATGTAACAATTCTAAAATCTGACTTACAGTATTTGCAGGCTAATCACAACATTCAAATGCACTGAAGCTTTACAGTACTTTGAAACTTTGGCCGTGCAATTGCTAGGTGCAAAATTGCACTGTTTTAGTAAGACAGATATGCAGTCAGACATCAATTGGCCTTCCAGTATCAATTCACATACCTAGTATCTGTAGCTTGCAGAGTGATTGCAGGTAAAAGAAACTGTATATGCTCATGGTGCACACATTGAATTCACTGAGTGTTTCTTCAGCTTAATTCAACAGTGTATGACTTTGTCTTTAATAATATTGCAGTGAAAATAAGAACTATATGTAAATGTGGTGGATTCACCTTGGCCAGCTGTGAGATCCCCACCCAACTGTGCTTTTGCTCTCTCTCTTCAAAAGCACAAGGAGAGAAAATTAGATGAAAAAGTTTGCAAGTTGAAATAAAGATGGAGAGATCCCTTGCCATTTATTGGCACTGGCAAAATAGACACAACTTGGGGAAAGTTAATTTACTTTATTGATATTTAAAAGAAGATTAAGATGGCAAAAAATATGCTGGCCCATCCCCTTTCCTCAGGCTCAGCCTGTCTTCAGGCTCAACATCTTCATTCCCAACTCCTGCACCTTCTCCTCCATGAGTGGTACAGGGGGCATGAGGAATGACAATGTGTCCATGACAGTTCGTCTCTGCACTCATTTCTTGTCACGCTTTTTTTGTGCTGCTGTGTGGGTCCTCTCCATGGTCTGCAGCCCTTCAGTATAAATCTGCTCCAGCATGGGACTTATATGGGCATTAGTTTTTTAACGAGAATCTGCTGCTGTGTGAGCTTTCTGCAAGTGAGTGCTTCTTCAACTAATGTCCAGCTTGCCCCAGAGTAGTCATCTCCGCGGGCTTCAGGGAATTGCCTTCTTCATCATGGTCCTTCTTCTCCGTAGGTTCCTCTCTGTTTCTGGTGCCTGGAGCACCTCCTCGCTCTTCTTTTCTGACCTTGGAATTTCTAGGGTTCTTTCTCACATTTTTACTTTTACTCCTCACTGCCTGGGCCATGCTTTGCCCTTTCTTAGCTATGCTTTCACAGAAGTACCACCTGCTTCACTGGTGAACTCAGCTGTGTCCTGCAGTGTGTACATTGCAGAGCAGCCCTGACCACTTATTGCTGACATCAGCCCTGCAGCCATCACCAGAGCCAAAACCTTGTCACAAACACCCAATGTAATAAGATGGAGAGAAGAACATAAGGGAATAAAAACTAGATCCATAAAGACAGAAATTTATTTTGGTTTGTTGTTTGATCAATTACAGTGAAGTTAATTTGTGATTATCACTTCTCTATATAGTTTCAATAGAGCACTTTTATGAAAGACAGACTGAAGGTATTGTGAGGAGGATGTAGAGTGGTTTTTGATTACTAAAAAATACAGAGAAATCAAGCTTGTATTTTTAAACTTTTGAAAGAAGGAAGGGGACAAAGAGCAGTGCAGATGAATGGGTTTTTGGTGTTATAGGGTTGTGGTGTTATAGGGTTTAGGATGCCAAAAATACCTTCCTTACATTAGGGAACATATGATGTTCTTTGTCTTCTCACCCATTATTTTTGAATAGTTATAAAAATTCTGTGAAAGTATTTTTCCCCCTCTTACCTGTTTACTGAACAGCCTTGTTTAGATTCAAACTATAGTTGAAGTGATGGGGAGCTCTTCTGTCTGAAATTGTATGGTTTTTTGTACATATGGGTTATGCTCCTCTCTAGAAGAAGTCAATTTCCAAGGTCTTGCATATCTCTATCTCAGCTAGTGACAAGTACTGCTTGATTAGCTATTTATTTCTTAAATCATCAGGCACATAATTTGATAAACAGTGTGAAATGTTTTAGCACCTTTGTTCCTGGACAACCAGTTGAAGGCCTTGATTGTGCAACAGCTAACATTTACATTTAATTTTCAGCTACTGGACATCACCAGGCTTCCTGGGCTACTCTGCTATTTGCTGGCTATTATTTTTCATATTTTCAGCATGAGATATCTTCTTGAGTCTTTGTGCACTTTCTCATGTAGTTTTATATCTTACATTGATCATTATTGGTGCCTTGAAGAAACTTGGATACTTCTACAGAAGCTATAATATTACTTTGGCTGAAGCTTATCAGGAATCTTAAGAAATACTTTTACTTTGTAATTTAGTTATATATTCAGAAAACCACAAAATGCTTCTTGATTTTATGAACTTTGTGTAAACAATTAATTTTGAATGGATAAGGGGTCCAGACTTTTTTTTGAAATAGAATATTACAATTTAAAAAAATGAGGCATTCTTAGTTAATAATGAATGATTGTAAATTCAGTTTCATGTGTAGTTTTAAAAATAGTGTATTAAAAACTCTTTTTGTCTTAACCAAAGTTATATTTCCTTTCATAATGATACAATGTCTTTTTCTGTGATTTTTTTTTTTTTTAGTGGTCTTTGCCAACATAGAAAACTGTGGTAATTTAAAATGGAATTTTAACAGTTTTTTAATGATGTACTAAAGTTAACCTTGTATTTTATTATTTCAGTTGTTCATGGTGGACAATGGAGCAGATGACTGGAGAATAGCCATGACTTATGAGCGTATTTTCTTTATCTGCTTGGAAATACTGGTGTGTGCTATACATCCCATACCTGGGAATTACACATTCACTTGGACAGCCCGGCTCGCCTTTTCTTATGCTCCATCCACAACAACAGCTGATGTGGATATTATTTTATCTATACCAATGTTCTTAAGACTTTATCTTATTGCCAGAGTTATGCTTTTGCATAGCAAACTTTTCACTGATGCCTCATCTAGAAGCATTGGAGCATTAAATAAGATAAACTTCAATACCCGTTTTGTTATGAAGACTCTAATGACAATATGTCCAGGAACTGTACTGTTGGTTTTTAGTATCTCATTATGGATAATTGCTGCATGGACTGTCCGAGCTTGTGAAAGGTAAGATTGTTTTTTGTGTTCAGTTAATTCTGTTTGTCTATCTATTTTTCACTCCTGTTTTATCTCTTACATTTTGAATTCAGGGGATCTAAACATTGTTAGAATGGAGCTCCCTAGTCCTTGATAATTTGTGTATTGGTTGCGGTGTATTCTGTGACAGACCTTGTCAGGAGTGATGTGCCTCTTAATCTGAAGGACTTCTGCAAAGAGATCTATGCCCCACTGTTTATTTGTAGCACTACAATTTAATTTCAGTGTGTTCATATATTTAACACACTGGACAGATACCACAAAATGCCTTTAAGAGTAATTGTTAATATTCTGCATTTATACCAATTGTCATTTATTTTTGTAAGATTAAATATAGTGAGGATAAAATAGAAAAAATAGATGAGGAAAATGCTTGGGGAGGATATGTAATTTGAGTGTTGTGCTGAAAAAAAGAAATAGAGTGCAAAATGCAGTTGAGTCGTTGGAAAGATCAGTAAAGGGGAACAGGCAGAACACTTATAGTAATATAACTCTTTCTTTCTTTCTTCCAATGAAATCCAGAAGTGCACTTCAGGGTGTGACTTTCAATTTCAGCTAGTTTATCAACCTCCCTTTACCACAGACTTCAGTGTAGGTGCAGAATAAATGTCTATCAGTGTTGACAACTTGAAATTGAATTTCTCAGACATGGCTTTAAGAAAAAAAAAAATGGGCTTCTGATTGGATAGGATTGCTTAGGAGTATGAGATAGGTTAACTCTAAGAAGACAATTAGAATAATTCTCTATAAAAGATTTAATGCCTTGGACAGCTCTTAGATCCTGGAATTGATTTCTCCTTCCTTAAGCTGAAAAATCATCAACATATTTAAGATATTTCTGTTGCTGTTTGTTGGCCATTTTGTTTTTCCTTTCCATATCTGTCCATTTTAGAATCAGTTTAGGGGAGTTACTTGTGACAGCTAAATGATTCAAGTCAGCAGTTAAATCAAACACCATTGTGCATTTTTAAGTTACTCCTTGCATTCCTTTTCAGCTTATAAGGAAAAATATCTGATCTTATAAGATGACTGTAGGAATCATGTTTTTGTAGTTTTATTGTTAAAATTTCTTTGTATCAATATTGTTTCCTCATATTACAGCAGGACTAATTGTTTAAGAATATTCTGAAAATACTGTGACATAATGACATATTATAGCTTCAGAATATTCCCCATAGTGGCAGTACCCTAGATTTTGACTCAATCTGTAGTACCTGTATTTTCATAAGCTTCTTCTTGTTTCAGATCTAACTGACTTATGCAAAGTCTCTCCTCTTTACCTCATATTCACCACTTCTCTTCCCACCAGTTTTCTTTCAATCCAATTGCTGCTCAGGAATTCTTGAGTGTCTACTCAGGCATTTCCCAAACTGTCAGTTCTGAAGTGGCTCTGAAAAACTTCAACATCCATTACATCATTACATATAACTGCTTGATGATGATGATGATGGTGATGATGCTCAAAAAATATTTTTTATTAACTTTTTATACATGTGCTTTCAAATATAACTAGTACAACTCAGTGAAAATTACTGAAAAGTATTTGCTACTGTCTGATACATGTCTCTAAAACATATTGTTAGTATACAGATTGCAGGGCAAGAATGTACAGCATGCAAGTAATACTAAAAATAAAAGAAACAAAGATCATCTCACTGTTTTTCCAGTCCGAGGGAGTGAAGAAAACATTCTCATAAAGTTTTGATTTTCTTAGTTTGCTTATTTATTTTTACATAATGACACACTTCTGCATCACTGTTGTTCTGGGAAGAAGATTATTTATTTGGTTAGGTACACTGAGTCAGGGTTGCAAAAAGCTGAATTTTCTTCAACTCTCTGCTAAATTAGTAATGGATTTTCCACATTTTAATTTGCAGTTGCTGTTCTTGAATTGACTGTAATAGTTTGGACAGTAGGCTGAATAGCCACAGACTCCTCTAAAACTGAAACACAACACAACAAAACTAAAAGCAAGTTAAATATACAAGTTAGTACTAGGTTGATATATCCCTAGCATAATTGCCTTTTATCTCTGGCTCACAGTCCAAGATTCATATTTTAAAAAAGCAAAAAAGTTGATTTTATGTTTCAGAAACAATAAAAGGAATATATTTTGGCTTTCAGAATTAGATTCTTGTCATTCATGCTAGTTGAGCAGTCTGGTTTTTGTGTTTTGCTTCCAATTTTCCCTTGAGGGAATATGTTAGTGTTTTGCCAAACCAATTATACTGACTCTGGATTCCAGTTACTAGTCAGCCCATCAAAACCATTTAAATCCATAGCCCATATAGAAGTAAGTGGTAGGAAAAAGTTCTCAGATGAAAACCTCAAAATTCCATACATTGGAATGCTCCTAATATTCTGCCATCTGAAGTCAAACATCCCTTTTTTTTGTGTAGTTGGAGGCAGATACAATAGCCATTTATCATGGGAAAGGACAGATATGGCCACTGAATAATTTCTGTTCTGTGTAGAATTAATAGTCCTCAGAAAATTTCTTCCAAGGTCTTTATGGCTTTAAATTGCTTAGATGTTAAAAGTTTAGTTTCCACAAATGAGGTACACTTTTTCCTAATTACTCTTGATTTGTTTCTTAGTTTTAACTCAAGGGAACCTCTTTTTTATTTTAAATAGACTATTTAATGTACACAAAATGATCCTGAAAATAAATTATGTTATTAGGAGTGTTTTCCTTTGACACTCTATGTGAAAGCATAATGAATTTTAATACATCTAACAGAAAATAGGAATTAGGCAGCAGCCTGGTAGCTTTGGTTTGATAAAGGATGATTTATATTAATAAAATTTGATGGTGTTAACTGTTTATTTATATCACTCTAGCACCATGCTCAAATTTCTGTTATACAGTAGCACTAAATGAGGTTGCATTAGCAATATTTCTTTGGTGTATTAAATCATTTAACTGACCATCCAAATTGGAGCAAGATGATGGTGATAAGACATAATAGATTAACATATTTAGATTTGGGAATGGAGGGGAAAGATTCTCATTCTGTTCAATGTTCTCAGTGAGAAGGGAAATCCCAATAGGCGGTGTCCTTTATTGTGGATTTGTGTGTGCTCAGCAAAAGCTTTTATTGCTGAATGACAACCCGGTATTCAGATTGTTCTTCTATTCAAAGTTAGGTTTTTATTATTGCAGATGATCCTGGGAATAGGAAGGGAGATTGGATGCCCCACATTTCATAGCAAGGTAACACGAAAGAGCATCATTATCCATTTCGCAAAAGATAACCTGTGCATACAGGTCATACCTTGAGCCAGGCAAGTTGGCTGTCTGAATAAAGACGTCACTGCATTAATGGTCATCTGACTGATCACTTGATATACACTGAATTAAGACAGGACATGTGTCTTTCTCAGTGCCTTAATGACTGTATAGTTAGCTCCCAGAATGCTAATTATAGCAAGTGACACTTTTGGGTTGGTGAGCAAGGTATTTTCCACGATTCTAGTTAAAGGTCATATATGAGGGCAGAACATGGTACAGATAATGGTGGTGGACAGCCAGCTGAGTATAAACAGGTTGCTAGGGCTGCAGAGTAATCTAGATGAGGCAATTTGGAAGGTGAAGGTGGGGAAGGCATCAAGTGTTGCTGCATACATAATGTCTGTTTTGAGGGGAAGATTGCATTGGATAGGTTTCACCTGCCTTCTCATTGCCAGTAGCAGTATATTGCTGTTTGTCATGTGTAGGCTTCATAATGAAAATCTAAATTTTTTATTAGGTCTAGCTCAAAAGATGTTTGTGTTTAAAACATCTCTGAGGCACATGATCTAGAAGACAAATACACAGGTACTTTCACATTTGAATTATGAGCCCTATAAGCAGTTTATTTTTTTCAGTTTCCCATACATATGTTGTTACTGAAACATACGAATTATGAAAATAGATTTGTGCACGGTCATCACTTGAAAATAGAAAAGTTTGGTTTCTCAAGAAAAAGAAAGTTAATATGTTTAGCATTAAATCATTGAAGAATCTGACAAGTTTGCTTTCATTCTTCTGTAAAATGGGTTCTCTTCTGTGAGAAGTGAGCTGCTTTTCCAGGTTGTGTGGAAGGTAGACACTCTTTGTAATCTGGCTTTTTTTTTTTTTTTTATGGAAAGGAATTAAAAATAATGTATTCTGAATACACACTTCAGAAGTGCCAGGTACCAAGGAGTATGAACCACAAATGCCCACATTCCACTGTTGTATGTCCAGAACAGATAATATCACATGCCTGGCATTTCTGTGGATTTGCAGAGGAGAACTGAGAACAGAACTGGATTTTCTTCTTCTACAGAGAGCACACTTTTGGCACCATTTGTTGTTCTATTTATCCGTCTCTTTGACTCCTGGCAATGAAGGCAGTTCAGTTTGAGCAGTTTGTTTTAGTCAGCATTTCTCTGTCTTGTCAGCTGCTGCTCTGTATTTTCTCCTTGTTTTAACAAAAACAAACTGAAACAAAAAATACACACACATATGCAAAATCCCATCTGTGTGTGATGGTGAAATATTTTTCTTCTTTCTGCTCATCCTTGTTTTCTACAAAACAATGTCTGTTTTATTTATTGGAAATATGATAGCATTACAAAGTTTCTAGTAAGCAGCTCACACATGACAACTGGGAGGCAAATGTTAAGAATTCATTTGATACAAGCTAGTGGATACACTGATACTTCAGTTGTAATTCATGAAGGAGAAAATGTTTCTTAGCTATCTAATTTTCTCTCAGTATGTATTTCAGTTCTTGTCCTGAGGACCTTATCTGACATTGTACATTGCATGCATATTCACAAGGCCACCTTCTAACGGAAATTGTATTTTGTATTCTCTGCAGTGACAGTGCGAAGATTCTTATTCTTAGTTAAAAAAAAAAAAAAAAAAAAAAAAAAAAACAACCAAAAAAGACTACAAAAATCCCAAAAGACAATCCAACAACAAACCCCAAAAAAACCCACCA